GGAAAGAGGGAGGTTGGGAGGGCCGCGAGGGGCGGCGGGCGCTGGGGCGGGTCCGGCGGGGCCCCGCTGCCGCATACCGCCCGTGGTGGCTGGGTCGCCCCGGCTCCCACCTGTGGGCTCCTTCCCGGAGCTGCCACGCCGGCAGGGGCGGGGCGGCCGCGCCGCTGCCGGTAACAGCGGGTGCCCGTCCCGGCGGCTGCAGCGAGCTCGGGGCCGCGACCTGGCGCGACTTGGCTGCCGAACAGCCTGGGGGAGCCTGGGGGAGCCTGGGGGGCTGCTCTCGAAGTTGTTAAAGAGTAGAACAGCGCTTCTTCCCTCCCTGTTCCCCTCCTGTTCTCCCTGCTCCCCTCCCCGTTCCCCTTCTCTTTCTGCCGTTCTTTCTCCTTATTCCCCTACTTCCCTCCTTCTTTCCCTGCTCCCTTCTGTGTGGATCTTCACAGCATCATGTTAGGGGGTTAATTCCCGCTCCAGCGGTGCTTTCCTCCGTGGCTGCCTCTCCCAGATGTAGATGCAAGTTTGTTGTAACTCCTCTTTAGCAGATTGTCTGCACGTACAGTGGTGTAAATGCATATCTGGAAGGATGGGCAGATGTTTGCATGAGTTATTGTTTCTTTCGGTGGGTATTTTCTCTCCCTGGAATAAGAATGGGAGCGTTGCTGCCACGTGCTGTTTCCACTTAATCTGCATTCTGTTTCTCAGCATCAGTATAAAGCTGCCTGTTTGCTTTTGATGCAGTTCAGGGTTGTGATCAAAGTTACTACTTCTACTCCAGCTGTGGTTACAGTGCTCAGTTTTGACTTTGAAAATAAAGCATGATTTTTAGATTTATTTTTGCTTTGGAAGCTTTTATTGAAGTAACTATGCTATTAAATATATTTTATAACTTTTATAGACAGTTCTGCCAGCAAAAGCCACAGTACCAGTACAACTTTATCTGTTTAAAAAAAGGTAAAAATATATATCTAGCATTTTGGTAACACCAGACCAAATACAAGATGTAGGAGTTTTAACTTTCCTAGCAATGAACTTCCCAGTTTAGATGATGTCTGGGTTGTAATTTTATACTTAAATTGTGAGGTGGCCCTCAGGAGTCAAATATATCTTAGGTTAAGGGCTGCTGAATTAACAAAAAGCAAAGTCAAGAGCAAACTGTCAGTAGGTTTGCAGTGATTCTGTAACACTTGCTTTCTCTGTGTACCTTGAAGTGGGTGGACTTTAATGTAATCTTAAAACTTTTGGTGGGGTTTTTCCTGGTATGAAGGTGTTTTATGAGTGTTCTTACTATTCATGGCATCTCTTCTATGACAACTTCAGTTCTAATAAAATTGAAATGTCCTAACTCTTATTTCTTAGGAATCTTTTCTAAGTGGTGGCAGTTTTCTTGACCAGAACTTGTGGGCAGGCATGTGCTTGTGTAAATATTCCTGTTCCAATGGGCTGGGAATGTGGGAGGCCAACTGTCATTTGTGTTCATGGAAAAATGGCTCTGATGCAAGTGGGGACTCTCACTGTGCTCAGGTTGCTAGAACCAAGGAAGAAAATCCTGCAGCAGCACATTGAAAAACAAGCCTTTCTCCAAAGTATTCAGCATTTAATAATTCCAAGCTGTGAACTCTGAATCACAACATTTGTGTCTTATATGGGGTTCAAAACCTGCTTTTTACAGCTTCATTTGGATATCTGTTCATAGCTTTATAAAAGTAAGATTGAGGGCAGTCATTTGGTGCCTTATCTCTGGCTCAGCTCAAAAGTAAATATTGAATCAAGTGTAAAGATTAACACTTTCACTTATGTAACTGGAGATCAGTGTAGAATAACGATAAAATGTATGTTCTGCAGGTTCAAGAGAATTCCCCAGCCCAACAAGGAGGACTGGAACCTTTCTTTGATTTCATCATTGCCATAGGACACACGAGGCTTGTAAGTCTCAAACAATTTCAGTGTTTTTTTCCACCCTCCATGAACTGTGGGTGCTGTAATGATGATGAAAGGTAAAAGCTGTAACTGGCACAAGCAGAGAAACTTTTCACATTGGACATTAAAAGTAAAGTAAAATTTGAAGGTGTTCAAAGTCACTTTGGCTGGATCCAAGTTTGAAGGAAAGGTTTTGTTTATGCCTTTACTCACCTTAACTTCTTAACAGGTTAACACAATGTTTATGTTACTGCTCATTTGTACATATTTTGTACCACAAGGTGAATACTGAACTAGTGAGTCAACAGAGCTCAGTATTTGTTTAAACAAAATAGTTTCAACATTTGATAAAACACAGAAAAGAATCATAGCCTGTCTACTTGTACTTTCGAGACGAAGAACACAGTTCCTGTGTGTTATGAGAGAAGAGCTGAGTTTTGGTCTGGTGGGGTTTTTTTGAGTTTTGATTGGGGTTTTGTTAAAGCTCAGAGCTTTACCTCATATGCTCCACCCTAACCAAATACAAGCTGAATTCATTAAGTTTTGTCTTGGTTTTATGAGATGTCTTTTTTAGAAGTGATCATTATAAGGGCAGATTTGGGGGAAGATCATTTAATCTTCTAACATGACAGAAATGAAGATATTCTTTCACAGTCAGTTTGCAGTGACTTTGAAGGGCTGTTGAAGAGGGATGAGGCTCAGAGACATGAAGTGAAATGTTGCTGCTCATTGTTAATCACAGTCGACATCTGATACTGCTGGTATTATTTAATAGCAGTTGTGAAGGACAGAAATGCCAGTGATGAAATGGAATAACAGGAAGTATTTATGTAAAGGGATGTGTGTTGACAGTACTGACTGCTTTATAGTAAAAGAAAATTGAATTGGAAATTACTGGGATTGTTTGTGAACCACAGAGCCTAAACTTTCATACTTTTGGTTCTTTGTATTCAAATTCTGCCACAGATGTTACAGGTGCAACTGGAAATAATGTTAATCCTGTATCTCTGCTCTACAGAACAAGGAAAACAATATGCTGAAAGACCTGCTGAAGGCAAATGCTGAGAAAGCAGTGAAGCTGGAGGTGTATAACATCAAAACAATGAAAATCCGAGAGGTGGAGGTGATCCCCAGTAACATGTGGGGAGGACAAGGCCTCCTTGGAGCCAGTGTGAGGTTCTGCAGCTTCCAGGGAGCCAATGAACATGTGTGGCACGTTCTGGTGAGGAGGAATCCTTGGCTGGCTCATTATTGGTTGTGTAACCTTGTTTTACATTGTGATGTTTAGCAGTAATGTAAAGTACAGCAACACAGTCACACAGAGAAAGGGAACACAGTCCTGAAGGTTTGTCTGAGCTATTTGAGTAGGGACAAGAAGTGGCTGTCAGGGTTCCCAGTGACAGTGACAAAAGTAACTCCGTCCCAACTGGACCAAACAGGATAGGTGGGAAGGGTTTTTTCATTTTATGTTGAAGAATCAATGGCAAAAGCAAAAAAGATTCTGGCCTGATTGTCTCTGTCTTGGCTAAACTTCATTCAAGTAATATTAATCTTACAAATAGCACCACAAATTTATTTTAAAATTAAGAGGAAGAGCTGAAAGAGTAGAACTGAATAGGAAAGAATGTTTATGTTTCTGGTTGTTTAAGTAAATGCAATTTCTCAACATGTTCAGAGGAGTAAGAATTTTCTTACCATGTTTTACATCTTTCTTACTTAGCATCTTTTACAGGATGTCACACATAGATGTAGACTATTCAAGAGCTTCTTTTTTATTCCATTAACAAAATGCTCTTTCCTTCCTTGCTCTGGAAGTTAGCTCTTCTTTTTGGTCATGGTAGTTTATCCTGCTGTGGGTGCAGATGACTCGTGTCACTCTTTCACAGGACGTTGAGCCTTCGTCTCCTGCGGCTCTGGCTGGTCTCCAGCCATACACTGACTACATTGTTGGATCTGATCAGATTCTTCAGGAGGTGGGTGCATGTTCCTTCCAGCACAGAGTGATTGTCTTTGTGCCTGCCAAGTGTTTGTTGTAGGGTTTGGGTTTTGTATAAATCCGATCAAACGTATGGGGGTGGTGGGGGGGGATTGTGGAAGGCTGATGTTTATGACAGAAACTTTATGGTTAAGGTAAACATCTTTCTTTTTGGTCTGACAGTAAAAATAAGTTGCCACTAAAGATCAAACTACATTGGTGATTTTTCTGTCTCTGGGTATTTAATGTCTGACGTTGAGTAAATAACTGTGTAAAATGTTGACTTTCACATTTGGGTTTATTAACTACTACTTTCTTCCTGTTTTTTCCATAGTCAGAGGATTTCTTTTCCCTGATTGAATCCCATGAGGGGAAGCCACTGAAGCTGATGGTTTATAACACTGAAGCAGATTCCATCCGAGAGGTAGTTGTGACTCCCAATGGAGCTTGGGGTGGAGAAGGAAGGTACTGATCTCTCTTGCTGACAGGTTTTACACTTGCTGTAGATGAGCTCCTATTAGGAGTATTACTACTATCAGTTATTAGTGTTTCCAAGTTAAGCCTTGTTTCCTCACACTTGTCACCCAAAACTCTTAATCTTTAATTAAACAAAAATCAGCCTAGAACTAGGAATTGAACACATTCAGGATCTAATCCTGTTCAAGTTGAATCAAATGGCAAAACTCCTGTCTTAAGTTCCCAGTTAGCAGATTATCTACGTTCTCATAGTCAAAACATTCAGCTAAAGCAAGAACAAAACCCACCTCAGCTCAGATTAAATACTTGGTAAAGATATGAAATAATGGACTGAAAGCTAAGCTGTGCATGTCTCAAAGTTCATTGCAAAGTGTGCCTTGAGTACTCTTCAATGGAAATTCTTGCAGGTAACTATTTCCTGCTATAAACTCCTCCTGTTTAAAAGAGTCAAAATTTAAAATATTAGCTTTGTTAAGAGCAGCTTTTGTCTTGATTTTTTCCTCTTGTACAGTTTAGGATGTGGTATTGGATATGGCTATTTGCACAGAATTCCAACACAGTCTGTGACATCAAAGAAAAAGCCAGAAAGCAAACCACCTTCACCCTCACCAGAAGCTGGAACTCCTGTGCCATCCACTAATGGTTACACAGAGGTAGGAAAGAGATAAATTCCAATCTCTGCCATGTTCTCTGGAGTTTCAAAATTTTCTGCTGGTTCAGACAGTGGGAATACAGAATGTTTGAGTACAGCATTCAATCTTGCTTGAATGAAATAGAGTTGGCTGAAGGGAAAGGGAGAACTGATGTTGCTGAGCAGGTGCCAGATCACCAGTGTTGGCTGATACTAATTCCTGCCAGGTATTGTCTCCTTGTTTTCAAGTCTTGCATCCTACAGCTGTGCCAGTCAATGAGGCTCATGTTAAAACATCTACTTCTCTAGGAGAAAGACACACCCCCAAAAACAAAGTTCTGAGAACAGACTGGCTTTAAAAGGCTGAACTGGAACATGTCCTTTCATGGGAAGCTTGGCTACAGGTGAAGCTTCTGATATAAAACAATGTTTTTACTTCTTGCTGTCTTATTCCAGACTCCATTGTTGGCACCTACCTCTCAGAATGACATCTCTGAAACAGTTATGAACTTGGATCATTCCACAGAGCAAGAAATGAGTGGTTACTCACCAGAAAGTTCCCTTTCTCCTCCTCCCCCTCTCCAGAGAGTTATGGATCCAGGTATAGCTTTTGGGTGCCTTTTTTCACCAATTCTTTTGAGTACATTATAGTACATATTAGTTCTAAATAAACTAATATGGTCTTAAACAAGCTAGAGGTTTAAATTCAGAATTGTGAGCAGTGGTGGTGGTTCTCTTTGAGGTTTTTGACTTCCCTGGATTTTAGAGCTGTAGAATTTGGTTACCATGTAAGTTACATTTATTTGTATTTAGTGGTAAGGGGACTTCACTGACTTCAGTCTGGATAGAACATGTCCTTTTGAATCTAGTATTTTGTGTTGCAACTAATATTTGCTTTCTCCTTCAGGCTTTCTAGATATGTCTGGAATTTCAGTTTCTGAGTTCACAAGCTTTACAGACAGGTCCAGCATGTCTCCATCTGCCTCCTTCAATGTGCCAGCAGCAGGGGCTTCTGTAGGCCCTGAAACACTAATGCCAAATAGTGAAGCCTCTGCTTATTTTGGTAAGTGCAAGCTAAAGATTTCCTTTAGTTCTAATTTCTGGAATGGCACCAACTCATGTTCACTTAACATCATCACAGTTTTTGAAATAGGCAAATTTTAATAATGATCAGCAAGACTGGCAAAGATGGGATGGAAAAAGTAGCAGAAATCAGGTTTAGAAATGGAAAAACCTAATGCACTTTTCCTAAGTTTACAAAATGTGGGTCTCTTTCTTTAAATGAAAATGCTGAGGCACTGTCTGTTAGCCTACTTTGTTTTGTTTTTTTACAAACTATCTGTTTTCCAGAAAATGCCTCAACTTTGGATCCTGAAGGTTTAACCCTGTATCCTGAAGGATCAGGCAAGCAGCCCACACTGGATGACCTCCTGCCTTCAATTCCATCTTTACCTTCTCTTGATCTTCCTCATGACATTTCTTCAAAAACAACACTAGGAACTGATGCTGATAACCAGGAATCCAAGCTGCTTGTGAATAGCACTGAGAGCTCATTAACCACTGCTCCAGAGACACCGGAGCATGAAGCAGCAAGTGAGCAGAAAGGAGAAGCAGCTGCACAAGATCCTGAGTGAGTGGACCCTGCTGCTCTTTACAGACTGCTGAATGCTGCAGTGCTACAGCTTGGAATATTTTTCTTATCTTGAAAGAATTACAGTTGCTATATTTTGTTAGTGTAGACAATACTAGAAAAGAAATCACATGAAGTACATATCCTGTTGTCTTTTCCAATCACTGTTTAATGGATTGATCTATGTTCAAAATTTGAATGCTGTCCAAAATCACCCAATCAATAGAGAAATTAATGCAGAAACAAGTTGGACACTGGCAGAATGTCAAGTTCTGGAATTCACGTTTGCCTACAAGTGCTCCTGAATGTACTTACAAAGGCATTGTGCCTGAACAGTGACACTTAGTGACGATTTTATCCCGATGTTTGATGGCATTATAAAAATATTTATAGTTTTGTTAGAAAGCTTTTCTAATTGTACACCTTGGTTAGACTGTTCTTGTGACTTGCAAGGCATTTCTTACACTAACATGCTTTCACTTACTAGACTGTTATTTTTCTTGGTTTCATTCCCTTCTCTGCAACAGTCATTCATCTACCTTTTGTATACCTACTTGAGCTGGAAAGAAATACAGTGGGGTTCGAAATTGCAGCCCCAAATGGGACAAAGCCATTCACATGGACCAGGTGGTGGCTGTGCAGTTAAATAAACAATGAAGGGGGAGGGAGTGATGGTGGTTACTTGAAACAAATTGAAGATGATTTTAAAGTAGGGGTGATGAGTCTTTTTGGGGAAGGGTGAATGTCTTTGCTTCTCTAGTGACTGAGAAATAGCTTTCTTTTGCTCCTATCCACTCATTACTATTTTTATACAAATTATTGTAAGCTTAAGACATGGGCTGTTGTGCAGCACCTGCAATTTGTTTTTGTAGCTTTGTTTGCATTTGTCTCCAAATCACTTCTGAATGTAATGGCAAACATGGCATGAACAATGGAAGACATGGATGGTTTTATAATCCTCAGGGCAGTGATTTATCATGGAATTTCAAAACTGCTGATAGGCAGTAATACAGCTACTGCAGTGAAAATCCTTTGTAAATTAAGAGATTGGGGTACAAGGCTGGCATGTGTTTAGGCTATAAACTAAAGTACACTTATTTAGCACAATATTGCCCGATTTCCTTTGCTCTGGCTCCTGCTGTGTTTCTGCACTATGCGGGTCAGACAGTGACAGCTGACTGGGCTGAAATCTGGTACTGATGCAGGGGGGGACTCAGGGTCCCACAGGTTTGTCTGTGACAGCTCAGATTCAGCCAAAGGGTGCAGGCAGTCACAGCACAACAGAGCTTCAGATGAGTCCACCCCAACAAAAAAAAATCTGCTCTTGATCTGTTGTTCATCTGAAATACTGCAAGTACAGTAGTTCTGAACAGGACTGTCAAAGTACCTGTTGCTTTAAAGAATGTATTAAAGGCAGTAGAATTGGCAGTGGATTCTAGTCTGCTAAAGGGTCTGTTAATTGTAAGCCAATTTTATTTCTTGTGTTGCTAAAATAAATTTCTTATTTTGTTCCCCCAGCTGACTGGCAAAGAGCCACACACTACAAAGAAATGTAATTTAAATTATTCCTAGGTTTGTTAAATCTTGGAGCCTGATGCCTGAAGACACCTAAGTGGTGTTTTATTCATGTTGTTTATTTAGGAGTGTTTCTAGTCCTTTACCTTTATCAGAAATGGCCATGAGAGGGTAATAACTCATTTAAATGACTCTGTACCATAAACACCTTTTAGAAATCTAAGACCAGGGAATGTCAAAACTCAGGCTAGATTTCAAATGTCACCATAATAAATGGCTGAAACTTATTTCAGTCTGTGTCCAGGCTCTGTGTGTTACGTTAACTGGATCTGAGAAGGGGTTTGGAAAACCAAGTAGTTAATCTTGAGCAGGAGAATGTTGTGTTCTCCAAACCTGAAACCTGATCATTCAAATGCTAAATGAGGTGAAGAGTTGGATCTCCTCATCAAATTTCTCTTCTCTGACCAACTTGGATACTCCCTCACAGCCGCAGCCTGAAAGCAGAGAGTACTCCTGTTTGTGAGCGCAAGTGAGAAAAGTGATTGGAATTTTAGTTTCAAAATAAAAAGAATGAGAGAAGCACCTGAGGGTTGCTGGATTCAGAGCCAATACCAAACAGCCATGCAAGCCTGCTGCTGTCCCAAACATGTTTCCAGGTAAGCAGGATGTGACCTTTCTCCCACTCTCTAACTTTGAGGGCATCTCTAAACCCGACAGCAGCAGCTCTTCTGTAGACACTAGAAGGATTATCTGGGCAGCATCAGGGGAAGGGTAAAACAAAGGGAGAAGGAGGAGGTCACCTCGGACATTACAGCAGCAGGGTGGTTTGCATGGCCAGACACAACAAGATGAGCTTCCAGACCTGAGCTGCTCCCTACAATTAACAGCTGAGCCTGGGGACACAGGTCTGGCAGACGTTAAATCCACAGAGGCTCCCAGCAGCTCAAGTATTAGAGTGAGGATTAGGCAAAGCCCATGTCCACTGAGCCGTGCTCCAGCCAATGCACAGCTCCCAGGGCTGATGGGGGCTGAGCCAGGAGGAGCCCTCCAAGCCACAGGGACTCAAACCTCTGCCCAACAAAGGCCACAGAAAGCTGGCCAAGCCCTGCCCCAGCTGAGGCTAACTTGATCCATGGGAACTTTCCATACAGCATAACCCTGTACTAGGAACGATTGTAAACCCCCAAGAGCATGATAAGAAAGTAACCATCCTGGAGATAAACATGCAAATTTCATTATTACAGCAGTATGGATGCTGAACTTGAATGAGTGAATAGATGTATTTATTGTCTTTAAGTTGAACACCTACTGGTAGAACTATTAAAATACCAAATTCAGGCAGTCGATTTAATTTTCCCTCTTTAACTTTCACAGCAGGCCTGACAATCTACTGAACCTTCTGCTGTACTGCTCTAGGCTCTGTGCAGAGGCTGCTCAGCCACACTTGACTGAGCTTCTCTGAGCTACAACTCAGAAATGCTACAGGAAAAGGGATCCCTGCAATGCTGAGCAGAGATCACACCACTCACATTTACTGGTGGGCTTGTGTACTTCCACATGCATTCTCCATCTTCCTCCAAAACTGGGCAAGTATTTTCACCTCCAAGCAGTTACAAAATAACAGGCTCTTAAGAGAAAGCAGTTACAGGTTACTAATTGCATTGATTAGACTGTGTTAGTATGTTCCATTTCCTGGGCACTGCCCACACAACCTCCTTCTTGGCTTTCACCTTATGCAAACACCAACTGGCTTTGCTTCTGCTGTAGCAGAATTTCAGCTGTTTGTTCAAAGTTACATTTCTAACCTACAGTATGTAATTAAGCATTCAGAGTCTCCTGAAAGACATTCAGAATAGTGTCACAATATCCTCAGAGATCAGACATGTCCCACTCAGGCTCTAGTCAGCACCTCTGCTCTGCATGGTGTTTGCACAGCTCTGTACAGAAAAGCCTCCACTGTAGTACAGGGAGCTATTTCAAACAACCACTTTCTTGTTAAGGGTGTGTGTGTTCCCAACAGCTCTGTTACCCAGCTGGGAGGTGACTCTACCTGGCTCTGTTCAGGAGCCAGCATCACATCCACAGTGTAAGACCATGAGCTAGAAGATTGATTTTAAATGACAAGTTCAATAAATTTCTAGGGATAAAGTTTGAATCAAACAGGACCTCTGTGAAAGGAAGAGTAATACCTTGGTGTAATGTCTCTATACCAGTAACTGCCCTGCCCGCCCCTCTCCTGGGGAATATTTGGATAATCCAACTAATAAATCCCAAGACCAAGGGGTAGAACTATGCTAAGATCCCTTCCAACACAAACCAATTATGATTCTATAATAAAGCTCATCCACTTCCAAGCCCTTGCCCTGGGCAGGAACACCTTCCACTAGAACAGGATACTTAGATTCCCACCCAGTCTGGCCTTGAATACTTCCAGGGAAGAGGAGTCCACAACCTTTCTATCTAGAGCTTATTCTGAATATTTTTTCAGTGTTTCTTAAAGTTACTGGTAACTCCTTCAAGCAGTTCTTCTCATCCTAAAATGTTACTTGCACTTCAACTACAAATTCTGAGCTAAGCTCTCCTATTCTCAGCCCCACCCCACCTAAAGAGAATAGAAAGATACCTGTCATACACTGTTTAAATGCTTTTCTGGGAGACAGTCTGCACTACTAAACACTAGATTTACACCTCCTTCCCGTTATAAACTTGGAAATTAAGTAACTTCTGCAAATCTGCAGCCTTTTTTATGATTCTGTGAGCAGAGTTTCAGATTGCCAATGTTCCCAGGAGTTGTGACTCTCAGTACTAACTCAATGCTCTCTTCCTCCTGCCTTCAGGACTCTTATGGACAGCACAACCCCAGAAAAGGTGACAGAATTTAAAAGGTAGTAGCAAAAAGCCCCTTCTCTCACTTTATACTCCATCTAAGCCAGAGCTGGGAATCTGGGTGCACATTTGGGAATTACTGAGTCCTCAGAGAGCAGCTCAGCTGACAATTCCCACAGTAAAAACTCTGAGCATTCTGTCCTGGCATTTTTCAACATCAGGAAACCCAGCTTGGTTTCCCATGTGCCTCTTACAACCTTTCCACATGCCGACAGCTCAGCAGCAACTGGCGTGAGTCACTTGTTAGCACAAAATACTTTCATGGTACAAAAGCAGCACTGCCCATGTCACATTCTCCCCTCAACAGAACTCACATCTGAAGTTCTGCTCACCTCAGAAATTCTTAGATTCACCCACAAGATTTTCTTCACAGGATTCTGCTGACATTTCTTCAGCCATTGCATTACTTGAGGCTTCAAAGCACTCTGAAGTCCTTTGTCAAATTCAAGCTCCAAAACTGCACAGTTTATCTAATACACAAAACAACTTGAAAATATTTTAACTAAAGCCTTTTATTCTATACAACTGTGAAACATCATTTACCCTTCTGGCATTGCAGACTCTTTCATTAATCTTTCCTGTTACTGTGTTTCGGGATGGTTAGAAAGCAAAAAACAGAAGGAAAATTACAACCTCGGGCTGATTTCAAACAAAAAATTACTGTGAGCAACTCCAATGTATACAATAGGACAGGAAGACAATCGGGAAACAAAACATAACCCAAACAGTGCCTATTGGAACAGACAGAGACCCTTGCTATTAATAAATACAAGTCAGGACAATTTAGCAATAAAAGTTACAGTTCTGTTTAACTACTTAATTCACAAATAGCACTAAAAAAGTGCAGTTAAAGCACAATTGTGTCAAACTAAGCATACACAGAAACAGGGATAAAAAAACTGAACCTGATTCTCAAAAGATGGGAAAAGACATCCTAGCATAATTCTGAACCATGGTTTTGTCTAAGCAATGAACTTGTTTTGCTGGGTTAAAAGTG